ACCTTATTTGTATAGTTGTATTTTGTATAGTTGTATTTTGTATTTCATCTGTATTTGTTATCTGTATTTTAGATTGTAATAATTGTTCACTGTTTTTACACTATTTGTGAACAAATGAACGCAGCCTTGGTGAGCAGAAGAGATTTCTTATAAAACTTTACAAAAACGTACTGACTCCAAACTTGTAATCACACATGGACTCTTGCGCTTCTCTCTGCAGTCAAACGACGGGACGGAGGCCAACCGGCACACTGAGACGACTCCCAGCCGTAACGAGGTGGAGTTGAACGGACAGCCGCCCACCGCACGACCCCCGCAGGTGCTCACAGACAGCGAGGAGGACGAGGACGAGGAGCTGACTCTCAAGTATGGAGCCAAGCATGTGATCATGCTGTTTGTTCCCGTCACGCTGTGTATGGTGGTGGTTGTGGCGACCATCAAATCAGTCAGTTTCTACACGCAAAAGGACGGCCAGCAGCTGTGAGTATCCGATTTTAAATTACAGTTTCATTGGAGTTGGGTTTCAGCCGTGCCCTTCAGGGCTGTTTGACAGAATTCGTTTGTTCATGCCTAAAATCAGCAAACGCTAAATGCTATTTTAGATGTGGTTGTTCAGGATAAAGGCTAAATTCTTCCATGGAGTCCGTAATACAAGAAATATCACAGTTTAGCTCTCAGTCACCTGGAACTGGAGAATTACAACCACATTAATTACTTAATTGTAGAAAAAAAGAATACAATTATTAGCCTATTAAAAAATGTTTTAAATGAATATTCACACAATTTTTCTTCCATGTATTAATTTCAACCGTAAACCTGTTTGTTTGCCAAAAAATGAAAGGGTTTCATTTTCATTTGATTTAAAATAAATGTTTAATGCCTTCATTTGATTTTCAGAAAAATTAGTATTAGTATTTTCATCATCTAAATGAGAGTGGATATTATATGTTGATACCTATGCAACATATGTGTTTTAAGAAACTTTAATAGTTTTTGCATCAACACAAAATCCAGTTACATATGCAAAATACCATGTTCGAAGACAAAGAGTCGTAAACTTTCCCTCTGAAATTTTGTCACCGTTTGCTCACCGACCCATAGAAGTTAAAAGGTCCTACATCAGTGACCTGCCTCGCTCTTCTTTCTTCTTCGGCGCTCTTACCCTGTTGCCTTTCGGACATCCAGTCCAATCGCGGTATGCGGGACCAGCCATGTTGCAACTTTCCACCTGGGAGACCACCACTGTGTCAGAATAACGTCTTTGGAGTTCATCACTCTTCAAACCCGGAAGAATGTGATCTCAATACCACCAAACCTTTAAACCATCAAGACTTTCATTGGAGACTGCATCCGGACACTTGTTCAGTGGCCAAGGCAATGCAAGTATCGTACATTTAACTAAACAAAACAGAGGTTTAGAATAAGCTGTGGACCCCGTTGTGAAACGGCACTGATGGTTTCACTCAGGTGGTTAACTGACTCATTTTCCATGCATTCTCTATCTGTTTTCATTCATCCACTTTCACTCCCGTGTGTATGTATGCGTGAGTGTGTGTGTGTGTGTATGTTTGTTTGACTAGTTATGTGTTGGTTTTTAGTTAATAAAACTTTTGTGCACAAATGATATGAGTTTCTGATTCTGTCACTGCTTGTTATTAGTGTCCCTTTAACGATTCCTGATTTTGTTGCATTTTCAAACCTGTCCTGGAGGACCCCCGGCCCTGCACATATTGTATGTCTCCCTCATCCAACACACCTGATTCAACTCATCAGTTCATTAGTAGAGACTGCAAGACCTGAATTGGGTGTGTCTGATAAGGGAGACATACAAAATGTGCACGGCTGGGGGTCCTCCAGGACAGGTTTGAAAACCCCTGCTCTAATGCACTAGTACTGTAAGAAAGTTATTTTCTGTGGCCACAAAAATGTAATTTCTCTTTAATCGCAAAACCGGTTAATCGCTCCCTAGTGAGACGGCAACACAAGTGGACACCTGACACCCAGCCTGAACCACCAGGAGCTGACCAGCATCATCATCTCCTTGGCCCACACCCTCAAGGGCCTCAGACAGGAGGTAAATGAACTCAAGCTACAAGTCACCAAGTTCCAAAGTGAACTGAACCCAGAGAAGGAACAGGACAGATAAAAGGATCCTGACAGAATGGTGCAACAGATTGAAATCACCAATCTTCAGGAGACTCTGACAGCTGCTGGGCACCGAGAGACAGCCAGCAGTGCAAATACCCTCACCCCTGTACAGAGATACAAAGGGGGGAGCCAAAGCCCTCTGCCTGATACTTCAGTCAGTTTCCTGAGAACCTCTGCAGCAGCAGAAGGAAAATGAATAATTCAGGCGCGCCCTGAAACATGGAGTGACACTTAGAGACCTCAACCAAAGACCTCGCCTACCTGTGAGACATTGAGTCGCTGACCGCTGCCCTAGCCACCAAACAGGGCCGGCATGAAACTCCCCATGCTTACTACCACAGACTTTGATGAGCTTACTTCAGAGCTCACAATGATCCTGGGATAGAGGAGGACACCAGCTTCAAGAGCCTTTTCCTCCAAAACCTCCACCCCATTATAAGTCACCATTTAAGCATTATGGCCTGCCCCCACACAAGGCCTATTCATCAACTGCGTGACCTGACACAGAAGGCCTATAACAAGCACAAGGCCTCCACTAAAGGTGTTTGTAGGACCCCACTGATTCTGAACTGCAAACCCCAGAATCCAAAGTGAGTACCAGAAGGCACCCAGCATTTCCACAATGCAAGACCCTTCTACAAAAAGCCACTAGCCAACAGAGGACAGAACCGACACCATGGCAATAGACCCAGGTTCCAGACCAAAAGCATGGAAGACATTCTCACCCTGCGAACACCACAGTATGTCCAACAGCAGTCCACCACACCCTTCACACAGGTGCCAAATGGAGGCTGCACAAGGACAGCTGGACATGCCCATTTCTGAGCTACAGGAGCTAGCAAAAGAGCTCCTTGAACAGAACTCAACTGAGGAGTGCTGGGAAGGACAACCTTCTGTCTCCTTGCCCAAAGCAACACAGCATCACTAGGTCAGTCTGAAACTCTCTTCATACTACAGAATCTCCATAACCATTCCCTGTGACCCCCGGAACCACCTGTGTGAGACACAAGTGAGAGTCCAAACCGCAGGTACCACGAATAGCCTACTGACTAATAACACCTACAAACAGTCATCTGCCCCAGCCCAACTCACTTTAGGATGACAGGTGACACTGGCTCGACACCTACTGCACAAGCTTGAGGACCTGCACCTTGCCGCCGCCTACCTCACCACAGCACACCGCCTGACAGCATCCACCACAGCACCACAACCACTCCTGGAGGCACCGGCAGCCAGAGAGCCTCCACTGCCTTCAAGTCTTGTGTGCCAGAGGTGTGTCGGATTATCCACTTATTTTCCATTGTTCGCCGTTGTCTACAGGTCAGACAACAATGCTCGAAAGGGGGGGATGTAACACCTGGACAAATCAGACACACAATCATTTGTTATATTTAATAAATAATCCCTGACACCCCTCACCCAACCAACATGCCAACTATGAGGGTCTGTGGACCCTTCCCCCGAAATGTAAATAACCCCAAAAGGACAGAACAGACCTCTGGTTATCACAGTAACAAGATAAACTTTTCGACTTGCAGACAGAGTCTCCCTCCTACTTAATTCCCTCTGAAACAGACACATACTGCTTATGGGAAAATACTCCTTTCATTGATTCATAGCAGAACTTTTCTGTGAATGAACATACACATCCCCAGAACAATGTGTGTATCATTACTGTTTTGTATATTGTATTTTGTGTAGTTGTATTGTACTGTACAAATTATACTGTTTTATGCATGGCTTATGATATAATTATTACATAATGTAACCCAGTTGGTACCATGTTTGATATCAAAATAACCCTTGTTTAGTCCACCATCCATTGGTGCATACCATCTCCTCATAGCATGCATTTTATGCTTGTTATAGTAATCATAGAATTAAGGGATATAAAACTGCCTGCCACTCTGATCATGCAAGTGAGCCAGCTTTCAAACAAAGGGTTGTAAACTTTCCCTCCAAAGTTTGTTGCCATTGGCTCACTGACCCTGACCCCCTGGAGGTGTTCAGGCCTTGCCAGAAGTTAAAAGGCCACTACAACAGTGACCTCTCATCTTCAGCTGCTCTTCTGCTTCGTCTTCTGGTTGCTGCTCTCATGTGGGACTCACCAAATCCCAGAACTGGCGCAGTCGTGCCTGGCAGGCCTCAACTACAGTCATGTCTTCACTTTCCGCCTGGGAGAAAACTCGCCCGACTACCACTGTGTCAGAATAACATCTTTGGAGTCTGTCACTCTTCAAACCCCGGAAGAACGTGATCCCAATTCCAGCACCATCGAACCTTTGAACCATCAAGACTTTCATCAGAGACTGCATCCGGACACTCAAGTCAACAGCCAAGGCAATACAAGTATCGGACATTTAACTAAATGAAACAGAGGTTTAGTATAAGCTGTAGACCCCGTTAGCTTCGTTCCCTGTTTCTCTAATGGTTTCATTCATTCAGTCTCATTCCCCCTTCCCTCATGTATTATGTGTTTGTGTTTAGTTAATAAAACTTTTGTGCACAAATTACATGAGTTTCTGATTCTGTCACTGCTTGTGGATGGTGTCCCTTTAACGATTCCTGATCTTGCTACATGCTCTAATGCACTAGTACTGTAAGAAAGTTATTTTCAGTGTCCACGAAAATATAATTTCTTGGAGTTGAGATGAAATTACACTGAATGTTCGCTGGACGAACAGATTAGTTGATGGTAATATTAATTGTGCTACAGTTACTGCTGGCAGCTGATATTAATAATTGTAATTATAAGCAATTGTAATTATTTATATACATTTCCCTTTTTTGAGCTAATTCGCTACATTAACTAAAACCATTAAAAAAATCATTGTTACCTGAGATAAAATAAACATGAACTGAAATAAAACAAATGACAGCATTATTTCTAATCCTCTATTAGTTTACTTTTAAGTACTAAAATACCTAAAACCACATAAACTAAAATTAATAAAGTTAAAAAAAATAATAAAAACCAAAGTAATTTTTAAAAATCTCAAAAAAATTCTAAAACTTTAAAATGAAAGTGAAAACACAAAATATAAAAATAAAATGTATTTCAAAATATTAACAAAAACTATAATAGTAAATGGTACTAAAATAACAGTTGAACAAAACGGTAACACCAAGTAATTAACCGTCTGCAAGTAATTGATCCTGTACCTTTGTGCTACAGATGTGAACGATTCCTCCGATTGAGGTGGTCAGAAGTATAATAGTCTATTAATGATACTAAAATAACAGTGTTGCCTGTATAATTGAATTAAATATGACCATATATTCATAATTTTATATGTATCATAAGAGTTACCAGATTGTAAAAGTTTGAGTTCATGTTAAGGTAATTTTCTGTTTAAATTGAAGGTTTTTATGTTGAAAGGGCAGTATTGCTTCTTTATTTTAACTTATTTTTTTTTCTGTTGAAATCTAATGACGCGTGTCTCTTCGCAGGATCTACACTCCGTTCCGTGAGGACACGGAGACGGTGGGTCAGCGTGCACTGAACTCCATGCTCAACGCCTTCATCATGATCGGAGTGATTCTGGTCATGACTCTGGTGCTGGTGGTGCTCTACAAGTACAGATGCTACAAGGTCTGTTCACTCTGCTCTCTGTATGACGCTCACAGACTCTTCTTTCATCCAGGTTGCAGGTTCATGTTTTGTTTTTTGCAGGTGATTCAAGCCTGGCTGTTCTTCTCCAACCTCCTCCTCCTCTTCTTTTTCTCCTTAATTTATTTGGGGTGAGTTCTGTTTTTTTCATCCTAATTTTGCTGCTTTTGGGCTGTAAATAATAGGGGGGAAAGTGATTGATATATATGGATAATTATTAAAGACCCTGTGAAACTGCGTGACAAGTGCAGTTTTCTGTCCTGTTTAAAAATATTTTACATTAGTTTTTATTTTTGTGTTTTCTGTTTTCACATTTTTGTAATTTTGTTGTGGTTTTTTTTGTCGTTTTATTCATTGTTGTTGTTGTTTTCAAAAATATGTCTAGTTTTTATTAATTATTGTTTTAGTTTTTCTAGTACTTTAAATGTAAATGAGAAATGTTGCTTTGGCAGCTAGCTGAAATAAAACATGTAAAACTATTTTATTTCAGTAATCGTTTATTATAAGTAACACTTTTTAAATCATTTTCGTTTTAGTTAACTATAATAACACTGGTCCTGTGTTGGTGTTTTTCAGATAGAAACAGGTAGTTGGGGGTAAAGACGGCATTTGATTGGAGTATTAATATTATCATTGACAATAATCGATAAGTAAAATGCCGTATAAAGACTTTTGTTTCTTCACACCAGGGAAGTGTTCAAGACGTACAACGTGGCCATGGACTACTTCACGCTGGCCGTGATCATCTGGAACTTCGGTGTGGTGGGAATGATCTGTATCCACTGGAAGGGTCCGCTGCGGCTCCAGCAGGCCTATCTGATCATGATCAGCGCTCTCATGGCCCTGGTCTTCATCAAGTACCTGCCAGAGTGGACCGCCTGGCTCATCCTCGCTGCTATATCTGTCTACGGTCAGTCACTGAAGACAGCATTCGGTTTGATGAGTTATTTATAGTAGTGGTCGACCGAAATTGTTTTTTTGACGGCCGATGCCGATATAAATCTGATATAATTTTATTTAGTTTAATTAATGTTTAAGAAATTTGAAATCATTTGAAAATGGATTAAAAAGTAAATGTGTTAAATAAACATACTTATACTTTAGATGACAAAGTATTTTTCACAAATAAATAAATATTTAATAAAAAATATAATAAAAAAGGCAGTAAACACTGTAACCAACAGGGCACTCATTATTCTGGGAAGTTTGTGTGCATTGGGAATCATATTTTTTCAAATAAAGCCAAGGTAACACTAATTTTACATTCAGCACACAGTGGAAATGACATGAATATGGCAGTGGGCAAATGCATAAAGCACAGCATAATTTGAAATCACTAGTTTAAAGTTTGTCGATCGCGCGTCTCCAGTGAAGCTGAACTCTCCTCCTGTCCGCATTACATTCACACGGACCGACCGTCACCCAGAGAACACGCGATCATGCAGGATTTATTCTGACAGTTACTTGTACTTTTATTATTTAAATAATAATGATTTATTAGACAGAACTGTTAAAGATAATAAACGGTATATGAAAAAGTATTAATCTACCATAAGCAAATGCACATTTATATCATTTAATTTCACAAACCTTGCCAACTTTATAAAAATCCAGCTGTGAGATCTTCGGAAGTGTGCATTTGTAGCCTTTTGAATTTGTGGTTCAGAAAATATTTCAGAAAGTATTTGTCTAAGGTAAAAATATTTTTTTTTCTTTCTAATTTAATAAATGGTTATAAAGTATTTTCAGCAATTGTTATGCATGTGTTTTTGCTATCTTCGTTGACATCGGGCATAAAAAATAAATAAATACCGGTTGAACACTACTGTTGATATTGTTGGTCACTAGTAGTTATTCCTACTCTCTACTATAAATGCAGATCATGTGAGCAGCAGTGTCTGCATCTCATTGTGTTGCTGCTTATTTGTTAAACTCAACTTTTCTCAGACAGCTGTGAATCGCTGTCAGTGTGAACATTCCTCATGGCGTCTCTCTGTCTCCTGTAGTTGCCATGGCACCCACAGCTCAGCCGGAGGATGATGGCGGTTTCACACCATCATGGGTCAATCAGCAGCAGCATCAGCTTGGCCCCATGCAGTCCTCTGAGGACAGCAGACGAGAGATCCAAGAGTTGCCCTCCGCACGCCCGCCACCTGTGGAAGACGACGAAGAGCGTGAGTATCTGCAGTAACTCATCCGGTTCTGCCCCTCCTTTCCAATGAGGAGGACACCCAGAACCCCTCAGCATGAGTCCTCCGTGTCTCTGAAGTCCGTGTCACATGATCAGACCACACATGGTCAGTGAAAAATACATGCAACAATGGGGTCCAAATAGTTTCACTCAAACCACATGTGGATGTAGTGCCATGGAATAGGCCACAGTGGTCAACTGGTTGTCCCTTTTGTATAAAGTATTTGAATGTCTATTTCACACTTTTTTAAAAGATAAAATTAACTATAAAATGTCAAAGAATCAAAAATATTTTGAACAAATGAGGTGTGTGATATAAAATTATGATATTGGCTATTAAGGCCATGTCCACACGTGCACGGGTATTTTTATAAACTGAGTTTTTCCTTCTGTTTTTAAAAAAAAAACTCTATGTCCACATGAAAACGCAAAAGCATGCTATGAAGCACTGTCAAGCGCATGCCAAACCAACAGGTGGCGATATAGTCTCAACCGTAAAGCCATGTTGGTCAGTCAGAAGCCTGAAAAAGTTTCCGGTAGGTGGAGATAACAGCGCAGGCTCCGACGTCACAAGCCAAAAACTCCGGTTTCGCCGTTTACACGATAACACTGCAACCGGAGTTTTTGAAAATCTTCACCCTGGTGCTGCGTTTGCGTGTGGACGAACGGCCAAACCGCATAGAAAAAGCTGCGGTTTTGAAAGTACCCGCGTTTGTGTGGACAGGGCCTAAGTGTGGTTGCTGTTAAATGCTAACAAAGCCCTCACTTCCTGTTGTATCCCCATTAAGTGGGATTTCGTGCACTTGCTGATGTCTGTGTGTGTTTTTCAGGGGGTGTGAAGCTGGGTTTGGGAGATTTCATCTTTTACAGTATGCTGGTGGGTAAAGCATCAGCTACAGCCAGCGGTGACTGGAACACGACGATAGCCTGCTTTGTGGCCATTCTCATCGTAAGTATCCCAAAGAAAACGAACAAATCTCTAAATCGGGCACAATTCAGTTATTATTCTCCAGACAGGCAAAACCATTGTTTTTTCATGCACTGGTCAACTTTGTGATTTTGGGCTATTTTGCTTTTAGATTTTAGCCTTCCTGTAGTCTAATAGAAAGAAAACAGCCTAAGTACACATTTAAATATTTGTTTTTATTACTCTTTTTGTATATGTAGATTTCAATTACATATTAAATAAGATGATGTGTCAATGTGCATATTTAAACATTACACAAAACTGTTGTCTTAATGCACTGTGATTCATCAACTGGAGAATGTATGATAATATGGATTAGTTAACATTTTTATCCTATTCACATATAGTGTCTTGCTTAAAGTCACCATGAACCCATTTAAATGTGAAACAGGATGTTCAGTGAGTGACAGGACTTGATCTTAGTCCTCAGAATTGATTGGATTGTGTAAAGTGGTGACGTAACACCACTTTTTTTTTTTTTTGCATTAACATGCACAGATATCTGTCAAAGCAAGTGTCATCTCCACCGAACAACTAATGTCAGAGTGTCAAAATGACCCGTTCACCTATGCAACGTGTTGCATGTTTTGTTAGCATTCACAATAGTCTGATTTTTATTTTTTCCTCAGGGTTTATGTCTAACTCTGCTCCTCCTGGCAATCTTCAAAAAGGCCCTTCCAGCTCTCCCCATCTCTATAACCTTCGGCCTGGTCTTTTACTTTGCTACCGATAACCTTGTGCGGCCGTTCATGGATCAGCTGGCTGTTCATCAGTTCTACATTTAGCACGGAGGAGAGGTCACTCCTCATGCTCTTCACTTTACAGCTAATTCCCAGAATCCTCTTGCAGGGAAAGTGAACCCTGTAGACAAGCACACCTTTCCTCTTCCTCTGGACACATGATTGGATTAGCTGTTTTTGGCATTGAATGACTCTTTATTAATTACAGTGCCTGTCCAGCGACTCATCTGATCCTGATATTTGCTTTGGTAACTTCTTCGGGCGATATGCCGAACATTTGTTTGCTTGGAGAAAACACAGACCATCTTACATGTAAGAATGGATGAAAGTGATCATGACTTTATCACTTTGATGAACTCTGGTGTATGGAATGGGACCAGAGCTTGCTTTGTCCACCAGATCTTGGATTCACTTTCTAGGCATTACATTAATTCCAGCTCTGATATAGTGAGCATTAACCCAAAGCTCTCTGAATGATATGGCTGCACGCACAGAGGTAGGTACTGATCACTTTTATTGGTCTTCTGAGGGTGCCTGTGATACTTTGAGTTTTCATTTTTAACACCAGCTGAGACCAGCCATTTGAGCATATTTGAGACGATGTTCTGGGCTACTCTAGCATTAAATCAAGTGCTGATCCAAGCTACTGTTGTGCTCTCCTGAAAAGTGTGAGAGCGTCATTTTGGAATGTTTAAACGTTCTTTTTAATTTCCTACGTGTTTGGACAAGATGTCAGGAGACTGTGTGGGAATTGTTTGTTTGTTAATTTTGTGGTGTTTTGTTTCTCTTTTTTATTTACCAGCACAATGGTTGATGAATGACTTTTACTTTCATATTACCCACACCTTTTGTCATTTCAAGAAAATGCAAATGTTTTGTAACTAAATTGAAAGATTCACAAATAAAAGGGTTGCTCATTTGAGAAAATTTCAGTCTCCATCATATCATTTTCTGTTGAAATTATTTTTTTTTCCACAATCATCTCATTGATCTGATGACAAGTAGAGATTAATATCATGTAAATTTGTGTCCAAACTGGTCAGGGTTGCCAGGTCTGTGTAACAAAACCAGCCCAACTGGTACTCAAAACTAGCCCAATAATGGCCAAAAGTAGCCCAATCGCATTCCGGGGGAAATTGCAGAACAAAATCGAAACCTCCTTCCAGGGGGTGGTTCCTCTGTCAAAATCGTGTTTGGGTGGGGGGGGGTTTCGCTTCAACTCTCGGATTGAAAAAAACAACCCTCGGCAACAGTATAAAAGTAGCCCAATTCCGCTGGAAAACCACAGACTTGGCAACACTGTTTATGATCCAGTCACCCATTTCACATCCGGAGTTAGACAAAAACATGTACTTGCAGTATAATGTTGCCAAAAGAAAGGTTTTCCTGCATTGCACTAGCACAGCTGTCTGTTACCCAGTGAAAGTCCAATTGTGTACATACTGCGTGCAGAAGTTTTCTCTATTCAAAACAAGCAGTACAAATATCTGTGAACCACTTAAAAAAAAATCTTCTGCTTATAATAGTTTCCATGACAAATAGAAACAATTTCTCTAAAATCAGCTCAAAATATCAAACATGTCAGATATACATTGACTGGATGGAATCAAGGAATGGTTCTTTACCCACCATACAATGTGATTTTCTGTGAAATCCGAAAACTTCCAACTTCCCAAGATCTGCAGACATCCTCTGACTTTCAGCAACTCACGTTGACTCGTCCAGACTGCAAATCGTGGCTAAAATCTGGACAAAAGTTGTGTAATGTATACAAATGTTCTGCTCGTATTTCAGCACCGAGCCCCGTTCAGTCCCTCATGTGCGATGGTTCCTTGAAAGAACAAATTAGAAATGGCATGCAAATAAGTTACCACCTCATTTAACCCTCAACATTACCTGGTAGAGGTGTTCTGTCCTGTAGTACAGCTATAGCCTTCTCATGTAAGGCTTAACTGGACTGGCCAACATTGAGGACATTAGTGAACAGTCGAGTCAAATTACCGTGGGGCTCATTGTCTTTGACCTGTTGTTCAGTCTCGCTAATGTTAAAGGGCCTGAAAATGGTGGGAACATTTCAGAAATTCCACAATATGTGGGGGAGTTCACAATATTGAAGGACTGCGCAACCCCTCTTCCGAGTCCCTAAGCCTTTGGGATTGGCATGTTGCCTGAAACTATAGAGGTAGTAGCGGTTTCCATGGGGACCGCTTGGCACGGCATGCTGGGATGGCCACTCTCTTTTGACATTGTACCTTGGTGATTAGCGTCAAGCTGAGCCTTCACATTCCACCTCAGCGTCTCACCTGAAGTTTACAATTATCTTATGCCACAGGTGAAATCAACGAATTTCCACAAAAACACAACAGGCACTGGCACATCACTATTACTATTGCTCAGGCAGTTTTTTCTAAAACTCTAGAACTTGGCAGGCAAGTCATTCCTTAGTATTTTGGCTAAAAATGTGATTTTTGAGTTGAGATTGAGTTTCGCCTGGAGGGCAATAAAAATGGTTAAAAAAAAAACCTAAAGATTTGCATTGAATGAAGGACCAAGGACAGGGCTCTTCAACTCCATTCCTGGAGGGCCAGTGTTTTGTGACTTTAGTACCAATAGTTAAGTCTGACACTTTCCCGTAGTTATGCTTATGTGGGGTTTGCATACTTTATCACAGATGAAGTGAATTAGATTCTATATTTTCATTCAGTACTTCATATACTGCTTAATCCAGAGCCAGTGTACAGGAATAAAGTTCAACATAAGCCTATACTTTAAAAATACCAGTAAAGTAGGTTCTATATTTTTTATCAGTTTTATTTTGATAAACAAGACACATTATAACATTAGGATTACTTGAAATAATTTTCTACTGTTATAAAATCAGATTTTAAAACCATTAGCAGAATTGAAGGTGTCGGAATAAAAACGAAACACACAATCATTGTCATTGGTGAATCCGGCCAGTCCTGCACAAAATGAGCCAGCTGACTGCTCTCGAATCAATCTCATAATTATTAACATTATTTTGAAAGCATACGCTACAGTGACTTGTTGTCAGACAAAGTCATGTCACAATTTCTAACATGCACTGCTTTCAAGCAGATGCCAGTCGGTCTGTGCAGTGCCAAATTAAGTCAAACAGCTCTTTATTAGCTTGTTCCAGTGAGTTGTGTTGGGGTTAGAGTTAAACTCAGCAGAATTGGAGTCCTGACCGATGCCATATACTGTATCAGGGGTGGCCACTGTCCTGCAGAGTTTTGCTCCAACCTTGATAAAAACTCACCTGCTTGTAGCTTTCTAGTAAATCTTGTGCTGCGTTCAAGTCCTCCTGGGACATTCGTACTTACGAGTTGACAAGTCGTAATTACAACGTCAGATGCGTTCAAGTCAGTTTAGTCGGCACAAGATGGCGGTGTACCTTCTTTTAATAAATTACAAGAAAATACAACAGGGTCTGTTAACTCTGCTTATAGAAAATGAAGAGCAAAGAATTCGCATCAGGTGTGTTTTGCGTTTTTAATATATTTTTTTAGACCAGGATCCTAGTATAACTGATTTTCAGCATTAATAAACGCTAAAATACAGAGATTAAAAAAAGCTGTTAGCTAAATGCAACATGGCAAATCAAAAGATTTTTCACCTATAGTTGCAAAAATTATAGCATGGATTTCATTAACTAGCTGCGTAACAAGAATATGACCAATTTAAGTTTATAGGACAACTAAACTATCAATTTAAACAAATTTACCATCAACTACAGACGTTGCATCCATCGATTCCGCCATGTTTCTCATTGACACGCCCCCAACTCGGAAACTCGGGGCTTAAAGAAAATTTAGAGTTTCCCACTCGTAATAATGACTTTGTGGTGGCGTTCATGTGCATTCAACTCGTTAATACGATCTATCCGACATGACTTGAACGCACCATTAGACCTTGATTAGCTTGATCAGGTGTGTTTGATTAAGGTTGGAGCTGAACTCTGCAGGACTGTGGCTCTCCAGGACCGACATTGGCCACCCCTGCCATATGTTCCTTTAGGTCAGGGGTTCTCAAACCTTTCCATGAAGTACCCCCAGCACTGCACTTTTTGTATGTCTCCCTATATCCGACACACCCACTTCAGGTCTTGCAGTCTCCACTAATGAGCTGATGAGTTGAATCAGGTGTGATAGATGAGGGAGACATACAAAATGTGCAGGGCTGGGGGTCCTCCAGGACATGTTTGAGAACCACTGCTTTAGGTCAGGGGTATCCAATCCTGCTCCCAAAAGGTCACTTTCTTGCAGAGTTTAGCTCTAGCACACCTGTGTGGAAGTTTCTGAACCTGAAGTCCTTGATTAGGTGTTTCAGGTGTGTTTAATTGGGGCAGAAGCCAAATTCTGCTGGAAGGTGGTCCTTAAGGAATGGGATTGGACACCCCTGCTATAGGTCAAACAGTGGTTACAGGGATGGGCAACTTCAGGACTGATGTTCTGGACTGTTTTGTTCCATTCCTAATCAAACACACCTGTCTGTTATTTTTAATAAATCTTGAAGACTTAGATTAGATTTTTCAAGTGTGTTTGATTAGATATGGAGCTAAACTCTGCAGGATAGTGGCCGTCCAGAACCAGAGTTGCACATCCGTGCAGTCGCGCATTATTTTAGCAACAGGGTTTGATTCCCATTAAGATGTACGGCATGCCTTGAATGCAGTGTAAACTGTTGCAAGCAAATAAAATAAGATGGCAGAACATCACAGAGATTTGGGTTATTCTTTTGAGTTGGGCCAATAAATAATTTGGCCAGAATACCTTATGTGAAGTTGGGTTCGATTTGGGTTGGGTTATAAAACTCATTTGTGTCAGTGTGAAGAAGCAGGGCTAAATTTGGTTACTCCTTTTTTTTCTTTTTTTTTTGGCTTGTTTTTTCCCCCAAGTCCATTCAATTCCCAGAGCTGTATTAAGTTGGCTTACTTAAGGCCATGCAAGGAAAGGATGTGATGTGTGGCCAAGTATGGTGTCCCATACTTGGAATTTGTGCTCTGGTTTTTAAAACTAATTTGTGTCAGTGTGAAGAAGCAGGGCTAAATTTGGTTACTCCTTTTTTTGTTAGCTAGTCCATTCAATTCCCAGAGCTGTATTAAGTTGGCTTACTTAAGGCCATGCAAGGAAAGGATGTGATGTGTGGCCAAGTATGGTGTCCCATACTTGGAATTTGTGCTCTGGTTTTTAAAACTAATTTGTGTCTTTGTGAAGAAGCAGGGCTAAATTTGGTTACTCCTTTTTTTTCTGGCTTGTTTTTTCCCCCAAGTCCATTCAATTCCCAGAGCTGTATTAAGTTGGCTTACTGAGGTCATGCAAGGAAAGGACAGAAAGGAAAGGACGTGACGTGTGGCCAAGTATGGTGTAATTTGTGCTCTGCATTTAACCCATCCAAGTGCGCACA